TTGTAGTGTTGACTTTACCAAGTCTTTTATAATTACATTAATAAAACATTGTAAACATAATTATCAAAATGGATTGACAAGTCCAAATAGTTTTTAGGAAATTATTTGAGATTATGAAGAGTTATTGTTGATAGTATTTGTTTAGTTAACATTGTTAATTAAATTATGTTTGTCAGAAAAGGGTTAATTGATTAGAGTAAACCATAACACCAATGAAATAATAAAATGGAATAAAATGGCGTGGTTCAACTGTACCACTGATGCCTTTGAAAGTCAGGTGGAGTTTCATCCTGATATTTTTCTGAGCGTACTTTAGACGAGAATCAAGTTATACCACTATGATCAAGACTAGCACTGCTTTCGACTTACATGAAAATTAGCTTTTTGTTGTCATTTGAGTCACATGATAACGCCGACAATATGAGGCATCCTGAAGGGAATGCTAGTTAACCTATAACAGAACCGAAAATACTGTCATCTAAGGTGTCCTAATGAGATCTGACAATTCACCAGCAGTAGTACCGAAAATACAGTCATCGTGGGCGTCCTGAAGGGAACTGCTAGTTAATCACCAGCAGTACCGAAAATACTGTCATCGGGGGGCGTCCAGAAGGTAACTGATAGTTAATTACCAGTAGTACCGAAAATGTAGTCATCGGGGGCGTCCTGAAGAAAACTGCTAGTTAATCACCAGCAGTACCGAAAATACAGTCATCAGGGGCGTCCTGAAGGGAACTGCTAGTTAATCACCAGCAGGCCCGAAAATACGCTCATCAGGGGCGTCTTGAAGGGAACTGCTAGTTGATCACCAGCAGAACCGAAAATACAGTCATCGGGGGCGTCCTGAAGGGAACTGCTAGTTAATCACCAACAATAGTACCAAAAATACTGTCATGGGGCGCCCTACAGGGAACTGCTAGTTAATCACCATCAGTATCGAAAATAATGGCATCGGGGGCGTCCTGAATGAACTGCTAGTTAATCACAACCGTATCGAAAATAATGTCGGTGAGTTATTGTCAATGAGCAGTGATATCTCCCTTCCACAGTACTGTGTACTGTTCTGAAGATACTCTCGGTCAATTATAGTCCAGAAGAACCGGTATCACCCTAAGACATTACTTGCCACTCTTTTAGTTATCTAGTTAAAGTCTGGGTGAGTGAGCAGCGGTATCATCCTATGACAGTCCTATAGCTTCTGTTCTTATGGTTATCTCTGTGAGTAATATTCTATGAGCAGTTGTTTCGCCTTATGACAGTCCTAGCTTCTTTTTTATGGTTATCTCTGTGGGTAATATTCTACGAGCAGTGGTTTCGCTCTAGGACAGTACTGGCTACTGTTCTGATGGTTCATTCGGTGACCAATACTAGTAGACCAACAGCAGCCGTATCGCCCAGGAAAGTATTGGCTACTATTCTGACTGAACTCTCGGTGACTAATAGTCCATGAGCAGCGATATGTCACCCCAGGAAAGTACTGGCTTCTGTTCTGATGGTAGTCTCGGTTACTCTCGGTCTTTTGCCCCCGGAGAATACTTGCTTCTTTTCTGATGGTTCTCTCGTTGACTAAAAGTCCATGGGCAGAGGTATCGCCCCAGGAAAGTGCTAGTAATGGATACCATTCTGATGGTTAGCTCGGTGACTTAAAGTCCATGGGCAGAGGTATCGCCCCAGGAAAGTGCTAGTAATGGATACCATTCTGATGGTTAGCTCGGTGACTTAAAGTCCATGGGCAGAGGTTTCGCCCCAGGAAAGTGCTAGTAATGGATACCATTCTGATGGTTAGCTCGGCGACTTATAGTCCATGAGCAGCGATACAATATCGTCAAAGACAGTGCTGGCTACTGTTCTGGTGGTACTTTCAGTGACTTATAGTCCATGGGCAGTGGTATTGCCCAATACAGTACTGTTTACGGTTCTGATAGTAGTGTCGGTAATATATAGTCCTTGAGCAGGTGTGTCGCACCGGGACAGCATTGATATTGTTCTGATGGTTCTCATTGTGACTTATATCCCACAAGCAGCGGTATAGCTTAACTGGGATTAAAATTTGTATGGGATAACATACAACGTGTATTTCTGGAATATCTATCACCCAATTCGCTTCATAAAAATCAAAGGCTAAAAACCGTACCTGAGGTGATTGTTATTTTCGTGCATAAAAGCTAGGTAACTGAGTCCATCAGGCAACATCATTGGGTACTAAAAATATTTATATAAAGCCTTATGTGTTTTGTGCGTAAATGGTTTTTTAAATTGTATAATGATTACAGATTTTCCTTGCAAACGCCAACACATTTTCTCTAAATGACCTCGTGGAACCATTATATATGTGTACAAAGTCTGACACATTATATACAAGTAACACATAAAACTTGGAGACAGAATAATGGGAACCAATGCCCATTGAAAAATTGTCAAAACAAATTTCTCTTTTTCAAATTTTTTTTTATCTGTCTTCGTATAGAAAAAGATCCCAGACTTGATCTATTTGTTAAGTCTCTATTGTTATTATGGCTGGAGATCTATTTGTTAAGTGTCCCTATTGTTGTACGGCTGGAGATCTATTTGTTACGTGTCCCTATTGTTATACGGCTGGAGATCTATTTGTCACATGTCCATATTGTTATTACGGCTGGAGATCTATTTGTCACGTGTCCATATTGTTATACGGCTGGAGATCTACTTGTTACGTGTCCCTATTGTTATACGGCTGGAGATCTATTTGTTACGTGTCCCTATTGTTATACGGCTGGAGATCTATTTGTTACGTGTCCCTATTGTTATGCGGCTGGAGATCTATTTGTTACGTGTCCCTATTGTTATACGGCTGGAGATCTATTTGTTACGTGTCCCTATTGTTATACGGCTGGAGATCTATTTGTTAAGTGTCCCTATTGTTATACGGCTGGAGATCTATTTGTTACGTGTCCCTATTGTTATACGGCTGCAGATCTATTTGTTACGTGTCCCTATTGTTATACGGCTGGAGATCTTTTTGTTACGTGTCCCTATTGTTATACGGCTGGAGATCTATTTGTTACGTGTCCCTATTGTTATACGGCTGGAGATCTATTTGTTAAGTGTCCCTATTGTTATACGGCTGGAGATCTATTTGTTACGTGTCCCTATTGTTATACGGCTGGAGATCTACTTGTTACGTGTCCCTATTGTTATACGGCTGGAGATCTATTTGTTACGTGTCCCTATTGTTATACGGCTGGAGATTTATTTGTTACGTGTCCCTATTGTTATACGGCTGGAGATCTATTTGTCACGTGTCCCTATTGTTATACGGCTGGAGATCTATTTGTCACGTGTCCCTATTGTTATACGGCTGGAGGTCTATTTGTTACGTGTCCCTATTGTTATACGGCTGGAGATCTATCTGTCACGTGTCCCTATTGTTATACGGCTGGAGATCTATTTGTTACGTGTCCCTATTGTTATTACGGCTGGAGATCTATTTGTCACGTGTCCATATTGTTATACGGCTGGAGATCTACTTGTTACGCGTCCCTATTGTTATACGGCTGGAGATCTATTTGTTACGTGTCCATATTGTTATACGGCTGGAGATCTATTTGTTACGTGTCCATATTGTTATACGGCTGGAGATCTATTTGTTACGTGTCCCTATTGTAATACGGCTTGAGATGTATTTGTTACGTGTCCCTATTGTTATACGACTGGAGATCTATTTGTTTTGTGTCCCTATTGTTATTACGGCTGGAGATCTATTTGTTTTGTGTCCCTATTGTTATACGGCTGATGATCTACTTGTTTTGTGTACCTATTGTTATACGGCTGGAGATCTATTTGTCATGTGTCCCTATTGTTATACGGCTGGAGATCTATTTGTTACGTGTCCCTATTGTTATACGGCTGCAGATCTATTTGTTACGTGTCCCTATTGTTATACGGCTGCAGATCTATTTGTTACGTGTCCCTATTGTTATACGGCTGGAGATCTATTTGTTACGTATTTCTGTGTTCCTACTGTTAAACGGCTGGAGATTAAACAGAAAACCTGTTGTCACGTGAGATAAGTTTCACTATATGGGCATTTATTGCAATAGTTATATTTTACTATACAGACAGATAATTCATTTCCATATGATATAAGTTTCATTATATATATACAGACAGGTATGTCAGTTGACATTTGAAATAAGTTTCATTATACATACAGGTATTTCAATAGTCGTACGAGACAAGTTTCATTATACAGACAGGTAGCGCGATAGTCACATGATGATTACTAGGTTCATTTGTAAAGTTAATGGCAGATGATAGGCAGATTTGTCTCTTCATTGCACTAAGTGAGAAAAATGTATACACATTTTTTTATAAAAACGGCTTCAGTAGTGTTTAGTTTTGTACGACTTTAACCGCTTACTTAAAGAAAAAAATTAGTATAAATGATATATCAATATCATAACTAAGTTTAAAGATTAAAATAATTATCAATAGTTGACAATCTTATTTTAAAATTTACTCATCTATGTTATAGCATATTAAAGCCCTAAAAAATATTACAACACTCAACATGTCAACAACTCCCACTATAACCTTCCTTACTGAGTTCTATATGAATAAAATATCTACATATATAATTAATGGAAATTAATTAATATGTAAAATATTTATGGTACGGAGATATAATAATCGGTTTTCTCAATGTAAAATGCCTTAAAACTGACAAATATATGAAACGAATATTGCAAAAATAATTGAAACCAAATGAATAATAAAAAAAATACGATTTCAATTTTCAAATAAAATTAAACTGAATGATAAAACAATCACAGATACACATCAGTATAAATAAAGTCCACAGAGAAAGAAACAAAGAACAACGTCAAATTTATTTTCTACTTTTCCATTTTTGTTGTTTTGTTTTGTTGTGTTTCTCCCCCTTAAATGGTCAATTTTAAAATGTCAGAAATATAAACTAATGATAAAACAGGCATTTTTACAAATAATTAAATCTGTCTTACCATCTATTGAGATTCTTTGCGTAAAATGTAATAGTAAGTCCATTCGTGTAAAATACAGCTCTGAAACAAAAAAAAATACTTTTATTAACTGCACGATATCTGGTATGCCAACTTATGCTATTTATACATAACATAAAAACGAAAGTCCAGTGTCGTCAATACAATCGTAGAAATATAACTAAACTGAGGTATTGTGTCAAATATATTGTAACCGCGTCAATTAACGAATTAAAAGCCAACACATATCGCTATTGCAGAAATGATATTACACAGTATTCCTTTCCCTTAATTACTGATAAACAACAAAGATTCTAATATTAAAACATACAGTATGTTGACTTCCCATGACAAAAGTAAGCAGCTGAAATTAACGAATTCACTGATCATGCTGCAGGAAAAAGCTAAACAATTAAAGATCACAGAAGTTTATCCATTTCACAGTCATCTTTGATTACAGGGTTTAAACGCCTGCGGTAGTATTGATTCTGGGAATATATCACATGTGTGAGATCAAAACTTAAAAATAATCAAATTGAACATTTCTTTGGAAATGTTCGTCAAATATCGTGTGATTGTTTAAATTGTCATTTTTCTACTTCGGGATCGTAATGTGACTCCTCAATACGAATACAAGCAAAGATAATTGAAAATTTGAGGTTTCTCTTCGTGATAATCTCCATGTTATAAAAATCTTAAGGAAAAAGTAATTCAATTAAACTGAAGCCGTTTCATTGTAAAAGATTAAAAATATTCTTGATTCAGCAAAGATTTATTGCGGTGTTTTAAGACAGAGGTAAAAATACGCAGAGTTCTCTTCATCATTTTAAGTCATAGATGTGCCATTCCGTGCACTGTGATCAAGTCATATTATGTTTTGTAATGTTGAATAATAATATAATAAATGATTTCAGAAAGATTTTTTTAAACTTGCATGGAAAATTTGAAATATTCTATCTACACTGTACACTTGATGTTTTTTTTCTGGATAAACCTTTATGTCTACTAGAATATTTTATGTGATTGCACAAAACTTGCTAAATTTTATATAAAATTTTAAACATTGTGGATGTTAAACAATTAACCCATCACAGTCAGATATAATAGTGTCACGAAACTGTGGTTTACTACACTACTACAGGTATATATATGTATTGTAACAGTCGCAGATTTTTGTCTTCCATTCGTTGATTTTTTTCACTGGAATTCCCCCTTTTCTCAATCTGTTTAGCAGTTTGTTATCTAACTCTCTAACTGGGTTATTTGGAACTTATCATATTGTGACATTAAGATGTCTACAAACAATGTATTGGCGTGTGGATATTTCAATGAACTTTACCTATATTATCTACTTTGTATATGAAAACCGCCTCAGTGGTCTCATGGGTCAAAGCAACGAATTTAAAATGGCATTTGCTGCTTCTGATCCAAGCACGCAGCATGTAGGCCCAAGAACAAAGTCATGTCGGTTCGGAGTCTGAATAATGTATCTAGATAGGTCGACATTGTTTTCCTGCTGATAGTTGTACGTTCAAAATTAAACTCGTTGCAAGTAGAATATCGGCATACTACCTAAACTTGTTATTGTCCGGAATATTCATTTCACATTGCCGCTGGACGTTAAAGCAGTCAGCTGTCAATTTTTTTTTTTAAATCACTTAAAGTATAACATAATATCCCCAGAAGGTTTCAAATCATTATAAAAAAATATAAAAAAGAACGCTTAGAATTATAAGTTCTTTTATATAAAAGGCATGACAGTGGCTTCGCTTACTTTTCGAAACTTTAAATTTCTCCTAAATCAAGAGTTAGTTGTTTGGTAAATCCTAGATTGTGCCTCACTATCCGTCGTGTTGTAGATATTTATTGTCTACTGATTAGTTTCTAACTTTATTTAAATCGCAAGAATGATGTTGTTCAATCAAACAAGATTACATATATGATATGCCCAGCTAGTTTGGACATAAATTGAATATGAAATAAAATGTTAAAAAGGTTAAGAGAAAATCTATACGGCAGCTCGACGAACTTATATCTAGAAAGTAAAAAATCATAACAAGTTATGACTAGACATTAAGATAGGTTAAAGTTGAAGTGGTAAGTCATTTTTCCTCGCGTTAGTATTCAAGCAGTAACGTTATCTTGACGTAAAATCGATGTCGTAGAGACGCTTGAACTCAATTTCCCTTGTTCCCATTGTTTCTGAATGAAGAGTATATTAAGGGGAAGTAAATGAAATTATTATTTTATAGCCATGGCAGGCAGTGAATTTCTAAACCAATAAAACCGTGTCATACTTCCTATTCATGATTCAAGGACACGTAAATGTTTGCATTTTAATGAATTATCCAAACAACTTTTTATATTTTGTTGTTTATTGATTTCCATACAGAAATTTTTTTTTATCCAAGCAATGGACATTTTAAGTGTAATTTATAAAGATAAATGATAGCTTGTTCTTTTGTTTTACTTATACTGTAATTGCATGGTATTTGGTACTTTTTCCGATTGGCATTTGAAATATATAGCCGAAGACTTTCGAGCTTTCTGTGGAGAAGAGAGATGAAATAACCAGTTCCTCTAATGTTCTAATGGTCTTTTCTGAAATAAAAGATGGCCATATCAAATAGCATCTAATATTTATTTCAATTTTATACTGCATTTAATCATCCATTCATTTAATTCCGAAGTTCGACAACTCACCCTATACACCTACTTCCGTTTTGCATATTGCCGGATTCATGAATAACACCAGAGCCTTGTGTGTCTGTAGGAAAGTTATGTAGCTATTACTGTATTTGCTGCAAATTCGTTCACTAGACTCATCTTTTCAGTAAACACACATTTTTTTCTGTAACGCACAATATAAAAACAGGATAAGACTGAAAAGTTTAATTTAACAAATCTTATCACTCATTGCTAACGCTTCTGTTTCTCTTTATCCGTAGTATTTATAAATCCAAATGGTTTATATTAGAGTACGATACGGTATTCCTTCTTATTACTTATGATGCACCATATCCCCCCTTGAACATACACCGAGAATGTCTATGTAACCATATGTTGGTTTTACAAAGTTTTTGTTAAATTGGCAAATTATAACACTATAGTTAAAGCAACCATTTCATGCCAATGGGTATTGGGAGTGACTGTCTTACAAGCCAAATCAAATGAAGCCACAAGACAAAATCAAAATAATTTTGTTCGACCAAAACCGAATCAATCAGAAACACTGAAAACTGTTACATAAGTGTGTGCTCCGGGAGGGTACGCCGTTGTCATCTGTTTTCCATTTAATGACCTGTTCATGTTCTCTAAGTGATTTATATTGCTTCTTATGTTGACATATGCAATTTTTCATTTTTGTTTTGTTATATTTCTCCGAAAACTGCAGTGTCGGGATATACAAAAAAGAAAACTGTATGAAACTGTCTATGATCTATTAATAAACTTCGCTATCTTCTTTTGAAGGTATTTTTGAAACACGTCAGGACATTTTTGTTTTTGTTTAACCCAATCATTGACTCATAATATTAGTGAACTGCAAATTATCTAACGCGTTTCTTGTTTTAATGTGTTTTAAAATTCAACCGCTGATATGTCTTCAAAAAAAGCGAAACCTGTCTGCTTTTGGTTTTTCTTTGTACTTTTTATACCCTCGTCCTTTTCAAATCATGTTTTATATGCATAATTCGCGCTATTAGACGAATTGATCTGTTTTGAGAAAAATACACTGTTATGTGCCGTGAAGGGTTCAAGGCTAGTATGGAGAAAGGGTTCCATGTGATGACAAAAGCAGAGGGTTAGGATATTTAGTCAATTTGATTTAAAACCTACATATATAACAGGCAAACGAAAGTTGTCATTGATTTGTCTATGAAACTAAATGAAGAGATATATGTTTGTGTTTCGCTTCTATCAAATTTGATTTATAAGTGTGACTTTGTGTCTATGAAACTAGCAAACACAGTGTAGTATGGTATTTTAACTTTTCCCTTTTACTTTGCAATGTCTTCGGGAACGTTTGGAAAGAAAATGATTTCCGACTGTCCTTCATGTCATCCTGTTTGGAATTAGGTTTTTACTTCCACTACCATGTTTAACAAATTGTAAGTAATTATAACTCCAAACCAACGACATATTCATACAAGAGCGCACCACAACGTACCTCATTGATATGTTAAAAAGCAAACAAAATTCAAGAATATCAAAAAAACATTCCGTATCTTACTTCATTTGACATATGTTATTACTTAATATTACAACTTATTCTTTACCGATTAACAAACAATTCAAAAATAAAATCGACAATCAAATTCACCTGCCTGAGATTTTGCGATTGTCTTTTAGTATATTCTGAACTCAAGTTTGAGGGCAGTTCTTCCATCAGTCATAATGGTGAAATATAGGCTGTTGTGATAATTTTGATTTCACCATATCTTTAAAGTATTAATCTCCAAAATGCAGCAAACAAAATAAAAACCAGTTATTGTTTTTTTCGTTCACCGTGGATGTCACATATGACGTCATATAAAAGAGTGATTTCACGGGGACATAAGAAAATGATGGTTCATAACACTTTTTTGTTGTTGCTAATTACACGAAGTACTGATAGTTTTCAATTGAAAACCCAATCTTAATTGAACTACTGAAAAGTGCACAAATGTATGCAAAAGGCATATGAACTTTAGCGATAAGAAATAAAATATAGAGGGGAATTATTGTTTTTTTCCCCTGAAATTGGTTTATAATTAAATAGAGTATATCTGAGGATTGTAATTTAGTTCTATAGTTATCATTGATCACACAGTCATGCGTTCTCGGTTGCTTCCAATATACACTACATGTCGACCCTTATTTCATTCTATAGCTAATACTATAATCTGATTTCAAAATTATTGATATGAATTTCATATCTTATTGACTTGTATTGGTATGTATGTATGGCCATGTCTTGAGATGTCAAAACTAATAATTAATCATTTGAAATATGCATTGTACATAAAGTTCAATCATATCATTTTCTAACGGATGTATGACCGATTTTTTTGTAACAA